TTTTTTTTACTTTAAATCACGATTCAAAATTTCAGCCATCTAGTTTTACTTAGCTAATGATTTGTGTTTACGTTTCAAAGTGAGATGTCAAGGTGGTAATTTTAAGAAAGACTTATATAGCTGATAGTTCTTGGTTGCAAAAGCACTCAAGAACTTGCCCCTGGCCGCTAACAATATAAAAAAGACATCTTTTGATCAAATATAAAAAGGTTAGTAATTGATTACGTAACCAACAGCTATATAGCCTTCACTACGAATGACTCCAGGGCAAGGTTAACAATAAAATCCCCAGTTAAATTAAAGAAGATCTCAAATAAAGTGACAATAAGATCCACCAAGCAGGTACTAACATCCATGGCATTGAAAACATGCAGACAATGGCACAAAGCTATTTATGTTCGCATACTCAAAAGTAAATCCATACAGAAAAATTGCTGTAACATAACTTGATGAACAGGGCAGTTAGCACATGAAATTAACAGAGTGTGATGTATTTTAGGGTGGTTTTAAGGAAATGCACTCACATGGAAAATGCTTGCACGGTGGTCAAGCTACTTGGTAATTGTTGGCAATGGTGGTCTCTGATATATTGATTCCTAAGGTTTCATTAGTTTGGCTACTAAGCTGGAAAATGGTGTCTAATACGAAGCTTATTCCTATGCAACTTATTGAACTGCCATCTGATACTAACGCATTGAACTCCCATTCCCTGTATTAATTGGCATGGTGATAGTGCTCAATGCATTTATTAAAATAGGACAAAAACGTGACAGGTCTACAGTGAGGTCCTACAGTTTGTGCAGGAATCTATCAAATTAGAGCTATAGATTTTGCTCCATAATGTAAACTTCTTGGTCCAGTTAACATAGAATTCAAATATTCCTATATCAAGTGGATATTTTATTCCAGGTAAACAGCAAACAACGATTAAACTTTTCTTTTCCTCGTTGATTGCACACTATTCTCCAGTCTATACGTTATTAGACGAACAAGGATCAATAGCTGTTAACAACAAGAATTCATGCTCCTTGATTGCACTCAGTTCGCTAAGCTTTTTTAGCTACATAAGAAGGGCGATGAACCTCTGTTCTAAATTCCAAGGAAATAAAAAATGGCAAGGAGGAAAAAGGCTGAATTGATCACAAATCAGTTTTAAAGTGATATTGGAATAGTGTCTTTCTCAACTGTTCACAAGTGTGTGCGCCCTGCCATTTTGGCAAAATTGCACTCTTAGTATCACATTTTACTAAAGTTTTTGAAGTTCATGGATTGGAAATTGTATATTGTACCTTAAGATTTTCTGAAAAGACATATTGGCAGCCTTCAAAGATATTTTTTTCACTGTATAAACTTTTTTGTCCAACTTATTTTCGCATTCTGCCACAACACCAAAACCACCGGACATTGTAAAAAGTATACTCAAGAATAACAAAACTAATATAGGACAGTGAACAAAAAGAGATTTTTGCACAAAAAAAGCAAAATGTAAATTATTACCTATAAGACGGAGCTCAATAAAGTTTGTCCGATATCTCAACTCTTCTCCATTGGGCAGCTTAACTGAAGTCCATATCACTTCCCCACTATTAGGACATAATATGTCGGGCTCAAGGATGAAGACATCTACACACGAATTCATTATAAAAAGTTTCAGTGTTTTATAGAGCGCAGATTACCCATTTAAGAGTTATATTATCAAAAACCATTTAACTTGTATATGTAAACTCAAAGTAAATCCCACTCAAGATCTAGTTCTCTTAATAGAATATCATATATCCATTGCAATAAATTCTAGCCCAAAAGAGAAATTCAGAGGGGTTCAATCATAATGCTATTTTATTATAGTGTCAACTAACAAAACAGAATCACCTAAACAGGTTAGAGTCTTATAAAAAGATCTCCTTGTAAACCTAATTGTACAGCACTGGAGGCTGTTTCAGAGGTAAGCAGTTTGACGAGATTGATAGCTAAAATCAGCCCTTAAAACAACAAGGACCTTCTATCCTTTTATTATGGATTCAGAAGTAAGTTCTCTAGGAAAGTGATTGGCAATAAATTCAGTAGAAGGTTCTTGGAACATCACTGGTAAAAATTGAAAATAAGGTTTGTCTTTCGAAAACAACTTCTATTGTGGAACAGAGTATGGCTCAACTATTTTCCAACAGAAATAAAGAGGAGAAAAAGAAAGGGCAATGTTACAAAACCTAATAAGTTCACACTCAACAAATTACTCCGTGATGTTATAGGCAAAATTAGAAAATGGACAATCCTATAATCATTCGTGCAGATAATTCCACCGGCTCTACCTTCTGGACATCCCTCATTTGGGCTATTTTGTAACCTGAATTTTATATAAATTTAAACTTTGTAATTCTTTTTATTAACAATTTACTTGCGCAGAGATTAGCTACCATTATTCTCAGGAATTTCCAAGCAAGAAAGGATAGTGCATGCTAACTAGTGGGAAAGACCAGATATCGAGAGTATTGGAGGGAAATAGAATTGTATTCTTGCAGTTTATTCCAATATCATTGCTTTTTCCTTAGGAAAAGAAGTTCGCGAGCTTTGGGCCTTCTACCACCATGTGGCAGTGCTTTGTTCAACATGCAAGGAGATAAACAAGGCAATACAAACTATCGATTGTAAAGTAATGTGACTTTGAGATATGTAAAGTAATGTGACTTTGAGATATGTAAAACCAGCAAACTAAGATGCTGATATTCTTGTGCCACTCACTAATAGCTCACAAATGCATTATAAATTTGCTCTCTTGAAACAATTTTGGAAGGTTCAAAGAAAACCAGCAGCAAAGGTTTCATGGGCATCCTAAAACAATAAAAAAATTTAATTGTTCAATTGATGGAGAAACAAGACTTGGATTGGGCTAAAACTCGCAGATAATTTGTTCATAATCCACATGAGTTGGAGTTTTAAACCACTGGTATGTTACGGGTTATGTTTGAAGTCATCACTCTTTGAAAGGTGGACATTGAAAGTTGAAAGTATTCCCTTCAAGCTAGATGACTATTTTTTGAGGTTGAGCAGGTGAGGCCTAGCATATACCGGAGCACAAGTATGGGCATTGTCCTCTGTAAAGATATCTCAGAATTGCAGTGTGGTTGAATCCTAAATGAACTAATGAATGGGATTTACAGAAGACCAAAGATATTTGCTAGTTTTCTGATAATTTCAAAAGGAGTCGAACTGTTTGCGAAATTCCATTAGGTTTATAAGCGCATCTTTCAGAACGCTTTTGATTGAATCTAGAGGCTTGTGGCACTCTTCACCCTGCCAAACACCAAATCTATGATTTGATGCACAATGGCTGGTGGAAGAGGATAGAAAGCTCCGACTAGAGTTGCTGGTAGAAGTGACTGAGGCGTTCAGAGGTGGTCCAACCTAAGTGCAATGGTGAGGGGATTGGGATCCACTGGTAAGCTAGTGAATGGACTGGGATGTGACTGTCTAAAAGAGGTGAGTGGCTGGAATGCACATCTCCCTTATTAAAAATGAAGATATTTTTCAAGTTTTAAGGTCTGACGATATGCTTCCACTAAAGAATCGCGATTGTAGTGAAACTTCAAACTTAATACCGGGCTTATATCAGGCTTCCATTGATGAATTTAATGACCGTGACATAAGGATCTTCATGAATATAACTGAACATCAATGCCTAAAAATTGAGTCATGTACTGAAATATAGTGGGAGAACCCTATAATTGGTTGGGGAAGTGAACTAACAAATAAGTCTTAATTTTGTTTTGTTTCGTTCAATGATAGGACCTGAAATGGGCACATTGGGGGGTCGTGCATGCCATACCAATCAAATTACTTTACCAGTGCATCAAGGCAATTGAGATACACCTCAGGTTCAAAGAGACCATAAAAGGTTGGTGACTCTTGTTTGACTTTCCTAGTCACACGAGAATCATCCTCAATGTTGTGCCTAGTGTGTATGTAGACGGGTGGGAAAGATGTAAGAGAAGCCACGTTCTATCATGGTACTATCATGGTATCGATCACCAAAGAGATCATCAACCTCAACGTTGTCTCCATGGACTCCTCAATTGTTGAGCAAGTGGATGCAGGTAAGGGATATGCAGTGAGGTGATACTATTCAAGTTTTAATCAAAATGAACAAAAGCAATAAACAGCTGTATATTTTTCTAATTGAAACTGTTCAGAGTAGTAAATAAGGAGAAGCTCAAATTTGTTTGTTTTTCCAAATTATTATGACCTATCTCAATAAAGCAAAAATATAGATTTTGTCTGTTAAACATCATATTCGCCAAACTCGTACTTTAAGCTAAACAAATTCATATTACCGTCGATGCTTGGAGGCGTTTGGTGGCTGTGCGGTAATTGTTGTTGCTTGCGGTGGTAATTCCCCGGCTTTGGAGGCTGTGAATCTAATCGGTGGTGGCGGGGGCAGTGTGATGTTTCTATGGTTTTTCCAGCAGTTTCTGGTGGAGTTGAATGTGGTGCCGTTCACGGTTGTGGTGTTTTCTAGGATATTTCCGAGATTACCGGGGGAGATAGATGCAAGAGGTGTGTTTGGCGGCGTTTAGGGGTTTTTGCGGCGGCGATTTGGTGGCTTTTACTGCTGTGATTATGGTTGCGGTTGCAGTTTGGCGGCGTTCGCGGTTGCGTATTACCACGTTTGGTGGCTGTGCGGTAATTGTGTTGTGGTTTGGTAGTGTTTTCGGTCGTATTTTCCGGTGGTTCCCAGGTGCTTGGTGGCGGTAGTGTTTACAGCGGCGATCGGGGTGGTGGCTGGCTGCAGAAGGCGACGATCGGCGATCTAGAGTTTGGGACTAAAATGATTTGGGCTGGTGTGCGGGCCGAAAATTGGGTTAAGGTTTACTCTGGTGTCTGCATTTCTTCTTTTGTCTGCATTTCTCGTTTTGTAACTGAAATTTATAGAAGAGCGCACAGTAAGCTTGTACTAAATGTGTCTCCCCATCGTATTTATTTCAAAAAATGAATAAAAAACAGTTCCCATATCACTTGTGATATAATTTTGTTTGGGATTGATCATCATCTTCAAGTTTCATTCATCATATTTCATCGATTCCTACAACGGATTTGATACTTTTTCAAATTGTAATTTCTTCTCTAACGATTTTTATCAAAATAAAGGTGATTTTTACATACTGTGTTATGATGAAATTGACGATGATATCGCTACATTCTTCAACATGTATGTGAAATAAATTCTGTGTTTGATCTGCATCATATTGTATCAAAGTAAGAGAGAATTTCAGTTGAACAATTACATGCACACTTTATATTCGTTGAAATTCGTTAAATTACAAATGTTATTCTCTATGAGGAAAACTTGTAACCTTAAAAAAAAAAAAAAAAATCACATGTGTATGATGTTTAGCATGCTATGCCTCATAGTTTTTAGCAAATTTTAATCTTTGAAGCTTGTTTATGATTTTGTTTGCTTGTGTTTTTGGATGCCAAGGATATTATAAAAGAGACGAAGAAAAAGCAACCATACCAAGAGAAAATTGTATAAGAATCAATAGGATTGCAAGTTTGACACACATGTTGAGAAGTGATTTGGCAGTGTCTGTCTTTTAGCTGGAATCTCTTCATGCCTTGACTAGCATGCTCTTGCTGATCTATTTGGGTTGGTCTTTTAATTCATAAAGTATGTTGTCTGGTTAATGAGGAAATCGACGTACTTAATCACATAACCGTAGTCATGTTTGCGTGGAATGTAAGAAATGTTGTGATTAGATATCAGGATATAAAATTAAAAATTAGGAACAAAAAAACTTCATAAATCTTGATTGATAAAACATAAGTTAAGTAGTGGGTATGTAAATTGACGATCTTATGAACTAATTACTATGCACTGATACCATTTAAATAAAAGATAATGATGTAGTAAACAACGGTGAACACAAAGTTAAAATATAATGACATTAAGTACGAAGTCATAGAACCATTAACATATTGTCTAAAAAATTGTAAAATGTCTTCTTATCCATAATGGATATATAAAGGTCGCACGCGTGTGAAGTGTTTTGATTGTGATTCACATTACATTAAATAACATGTTTGTGAGAATTATATATCTCATTTCATATTGTATGTATTTTTAGCTGACGCACATCAGCGGTTTGAGATCTATGTGTAATGTGTTGTCATGTTGGTACATTTTAACTATATATTCATTTACGTGTAGTGTGTAGGTTGTGATTAATATGACATGAGATGATATGAATGGTTTGAAACATATAGCATGAAACGAGACGTGATATAAAATATCTTTACATGCATGTTGAGGAACTATGTGTAATATACTGCAATGCTGATTTAAAATTACACGATGGGTTGTTGAACGTATCTTATTCTATTATATTACCCAACCAAAATAGACTATAAACAAAATTCAAAAACATAAGCATTCATACAAACATGATTATAGCAAGACAAAATGAGTACAAAAGCACGTAATGTTTAGCTAAAAAGTTAAAAAGCTCAAGTACTCGTAAATCGTAAGGATATAAATCAATCAACATGGTTGCGTGATTATCCATGTCGGTGTTAGGACATGGTTACAGGTTGAGAGATTTTGTTGAATAACTCGTACATAGCTATCAAATAAAAAGAAAAAAAATTATATAATAATCTTTTAGATTGTATTTTAATTTGCACATACTTTATATCATTTCAACCCATAAACATTTTCCTATTTTATTGTGCAAATTGTCTGAAATTCCAATTTCCTTATCACGTAAATTGAAATTGAAATTTGATCTATACCACGACTGTTAATAACATCAAACTAACTGATTTTGCAAATTTTGAGGATAGGAAGTTCCACTACTTAAAATGTCAATTGTCTCAATTCCAATTTGCCTAACACACGTAACTCAAATTGCACATTGATATAAACTGCAGATTTTTATATTACATCAAACTAATTTTTTATTTTTTATTTTTTGTGCAATTTTTTAGGACACTTCCTATTCCACTAATAAAGCAAATTGTTTCCATTCCAATTTGATTAACGTGAAATTAAAATAGCATACTTCTATAATACGAGTGCAAATAATTTCTTACAATTTTGAAAACTAAACAGTTCAAAGAAAGAACAAAAACTAACATCTGGAGCGGCCCGTTGCATGGGAACTGAAGGTATATCAAGTCCATAATTCCATTTGCGGACGATGAACTTATTTCGTCCATTTCCAAACTCCGAGCAACTGGTGCAACATATACACTAACTTGCAATAAAATTGAAAAAAAAAAATCCAAAAAAAACTATATAAACTGTTTAGAAAGGAAATAGGATCTAGTTCAACTACTGATACCTAATTTTTGTACAATATAATTGGATGATTAGAGAATTTACACGAGATATATAATTCTAAAATTGAAATTGGATAGGAATTTCACAATGTGGCAAGGTATCTTTGGGCGGTCGAGTGATTTGTGGCGGGTGGCAAAGAGACCAATGCACGACGAGGAATCAATTATGCTTTAGGAAAATTAATGCAATTTTTGTCATATTTTATGAGGACTGCATTTTTCACCGTCATTTACAAAATTGGGTTGGGGAGGATAACCGGATTCTTACTAACAAGATTTGCAGATGGATTGAAGGATTTTTTGGGCAATAATTGAGAAGAGATTGAATTTGGGAGGATGAACGATTTTGGGTATGTATTGAGAAATGTGATTTGAGGATTCTCAATTATGGTGGAAGAATTACAGGAATTGTTTGAGGGCATGATTTAGGGTGGACTAAAATTAGATGGGTGATTTTGCTTATTTTAACATTTCCTTTATACTAGAATATTGTAGTAAATATCATAATAAAAATGTTAAGATATATTATGTGAATATTTTTATAAAATAAGGTATCCCATGTAATTTCCTCAAAATTCATTTATAAAACTAAGAAAAGAAGGTTTACATTTCAAAATTCAGATATTGTTAAATTTTATTTCTGAAATAATTGATGAAAAAATTATTTTATTAATTAAACATATTAAGGTCACAAATCTATTAAATTTGGTCACAGCTTATCAAATTAATTGGTTACAAATTATTTCTAAGTCACAAATCGAAAATTCTATAGGTCACAAATTATTTGTCGATCACATGCCGAAATTTTCACAAGTCACAATTCATTAATCGGTCACAAAATCAAAATTTTTATTGGTCACAACTCATTTGTCGGTTACAAATAAAAAATTTCACAGGTCACAATTCATCGATCGGTCACAAAATCAAAATTTTAATTGGTCACAACTCATTTGTCGGTCACAAATCAAAATTTTTACTACTCACAAACTATCAAAATAATTTGTCACAATTAATTTTACAGTCACAAATTATTTTTCGATCACAATTTAAAAATTTTATAGGTCACGATTTGTTCTTTGGTCACAAATCAAAAATTTATCAGTGTCACACTACCACGCCATGACTTCAACAGCAACATCGCCAGAACAACTGTCACCACCTCCCGACAGTAACATCCTCGAACCAACACTGCCGCCTCCCAGCACCACCCGTCGACAGCAACACCACCATCTCAAACAAATTAATCATCACAGAAACCACTACCACTAGTACGAGGCTACGTCGCGAGTGAAGATGAAGGAGAGCTAGCCACTCTGACTAACAATCACCACCACCCGCACCATCCCCACCTGCACCACCTAGTTTGTGACCACACCGCCAATGCCAACATTGTTTATGACATCGTTATATCCACCACCTCCATCACCAGATCCATCAATAAAAAATCACCTCAAAATCGCAACACCAAAACATGAAAACCTATCACCACACAACACAACACAACACCACCACACTGCACACCCCACCACACAACACAACACCACCGCACTGCACACCCCACCACACCACTGCACCACGCATCCGAACAACACCGTATTGTCATCACCACGCTACTACAGTCGGCACTGCTATGAGCATCGCTCACAACGGCACTCAGATTGGCCGCTATGAGAGCTGTCTCCAATGCTCACAACGATGCTCAGAAGTCAGATTGACACCAATAATTTTACAGCAGCGTAGTAGAGAGAAAATGGAGAGAATCTGAGCGCTGGCACTGTTGAGATAGAGAGTATCCGATAGCCCTTATTCGCAGTATCTGAGCGTTGGCATCTGAACTTTTGAATTGTGATCGTAAAATAATTTGTGATATAAAACTTTTGATTTGTGACCAAAAAATAATAAATGATTAATTAAATTGTTAATTTGTAATCAAATTGTATAGATATGTGACATAAATATATTTAATTAATCAATTAATTAATTAATTAAATCATAAATATATTTTAATAAAAATCTGATTTTTGAAGTTTGAAACTTGTTTTTTTAATTTTGAAATATGTTATACTTAATCTATTACTTATAAAATTTTCCCTTGGATAATTTTGAATGAAAAATGTCATCTCCACATCATTGGGAAATCTTTTGGATGTCCTAAACGAGAATCGCAATCCAAAGTTGGACGAAGACAATTTCTTACAAAATTTTGTCAATTGACGTCCATAAGTGATCCAGAATCGATAACTAACTTGAGATGTCAAGTGGAAGGATACATACAATAAATAAAGGGGAGATTATTAAGACACGCTACCTCTGACGAATATGAAATTTAGGGGGTATATTCAAGGACTACAAGTACTAATAATTTTGGCTTTTGTTGATTTTGGTTCAATTTTGCGTCTGGATATTGTGCATTTTGTATTTTGATAGCTATTTGCTTATTTTGCAATAACTAGAAGTCAATATGCTTTTCTTCAGTCTATCAGTATGCAACTGAATACACCATCCATAGATCTACTCATGTTTGAGGCTTTTAGTAGCACGGTCAAATACACCACCACCACCACATGCAATGTTTTCCTCTTCTATGGGTTTGTCATCTTCTAGTTCTTCGGGTA